TCGTCGACATACCTACCAGTAAGAATAGTACTGCGCCTTCCAGGGTAGCGGGCGCCCATCTGATACTCTAGGTCACTGAGGACCGCATGCAAAATAGAGCCACTGAGGGGGCCACCTATGGGGATCCCTTGGAGCTGTTGTACCACGAGCCCACCTACCAAGAACAGCCGCACCCCCAAGAATCCTTCCAGGGCTCTCCGGAGGCCGCGCACCACCCAGACCGTGCGGCCCCACAGGCGTTGGTTGGTATGACCTCCAAAGTAGGCGTGTGAGCGTTGTGTTCGTAGAATAGTGATACACCGATGAGCTTCAACTTTTGAGAACAGTCTGTCCAGGCAGCCAAGGATTCGCGCCACATCAATCGCCTCACATGCCTGGCCTGCGTCCCCAACCAGGACGCCAGGGAGCCGCATCGGCTGCAGGCAACCTCTGCACAAAGGCGGAGCCACTGTCGGTGCCGAGACCAGATGACAGCATTGGTCCAGCACACTGGGCACAGCCGTGTCGAGAGAGAGCAAGGACCACCCTGGATTGAAGTGGTTGGGGAGGAAAGTAAAGGCACGGCTGGCCGTTCGGTATAGCGCACGGGATGGTAAACACACAAAGCTGCATGTGTTGCGAAAACAGCTGCGCTGTGGCTTGGAGCAACTCTCAGGGGATAGCGTGGGGCTGCGCAGAGATCCATTTCACCATAAGAACTGTCAGACCCTTTCCCGGGATGTTGAGGGGTCCGTGACCTGAACCCTGCAAAGTCCACTGTTGGAGGAGGCGGTCATAGAGATCGCCGTAAGGGTGTTGGGGAAAATGTTGCCACCTATGTCGGCCAGCAAGGTACCTAGAGAAGCCCATATACCTAGTGCACAGAGACGCCATTCGTCGTTCGTACCACGATTGGTTAAGCACGGTTTGAGCTTCACAGTGAGGTAGAGCCTGACGCCTACTGGTTCGGTGTCTACGCCTTCTGGGGGTATCCCTGTACCTGGCCCGTGGACGCCCAAGATGGGGATTACTTAGATTGTTAGCGGCAGGTCGCGAGTAGGCAATAAACGCACTCTCCTGGGCGTGGGCTTGGGAGGAGGGTACAACCGCAAGGAAGAGCACCAGGAGCCACGAGGAGCACCCAGGGGCCAGCAGGATGTACCGACTGCGCTCCTTGGTAGGGGTCCCATTGGAGATACAGCGGAGGCCCCGTAGGTGCTCGCGGAAGCGCCCAACTCCACCGGAGCGCCCACTTGAGTGCCGCACCATGGAGCCTTGGCCCACATAGAGACTGTCGGAGCCAAGTTGGTACACAAAGCTGAGGGGGCCCGAGACGTTTCCCGTGGACCTCGGCGTAGGATCTGAAATGCACTTAGCCTGCAAATATACAAAGGTAAATAGTTCCATCGCATGCAGCAACGTGGCGCCACCGTTCCGATCAAAGGCTGAGATCAGGCGCGGGGGAAGGTGGTGGAGCAATTTGCGGGCCTGCTGCCTCGCCTTGCGTCCACCTTTAAGAAGAGCTCTAATGCGACACAATGTTAGAGTCACCGTGAGGGCTGTGACCACTGTCGAGAGGTATGGGCTTACACCTGGCCGTGGAAGGAGCTCAACGAGCTCCTTCTGCACAAGATGCACATAGTCTATAAATCGAGTGGATGGAGCCGAAACGAGAATCTGCCATAGACCTGAAGCCAAGACCATAGCCGTCACATCACCATGTCGTTGCTGGATTCGAAGGTCGCTGTAGATAGAGATCTTAGTGGACCATCCACGCGTCGCCCGAAGTTCCTTTATCACGGCGGGGAGGACCTGGGGCCCAAGTAGTGTCGTAAGAGACGGACGCGTGTCCATATGAACACTGAGATAATCATCACATTCATTTTGGAGAGTACCTGCACAGCCACGTATACAGACGAAGATGAGGAATGGTCGAAGCGGGAGTCGGGGGCAAGGCACGGTAAGTATTGCAAGTATGACAAGGATCGCCTCCGTCAAGAGGCAGGTACATTTCGTCAGCGTAGACGTCACATGTCGGACAACCAGTGGCCATATTCCAGCCATTCTTGAAATTGATCGTGATACCCTTGGGTGGATTGGAAGTCGGCGTGGGCTTGTTGTAGTTCCTGCAGAGTCATATACATGGCCCTGGTCGTCTCGTTGTACATTCTGTGTGTCCGCCATGTGGTAATATTAACCGTAGATACTTGGTTGAGCCATCTGCTGTCTGAACTGGCAAACTCGCCAACTCTCAGGGCCAGTCCTCGGTCTAAAAGGATCTGTTCCATCAGCACGCCAGAAGAATGAATGCATATGGAAGTATATGGAATTGTTATGTAGGCGGGGTGCGGTACACACTGTCTCGTAGGATCGGCACTCCACACTCCCCGCGTCACACTTGGATGAGTTGTCGTTAGCAAGATAACCAAGCCCGCGGACCAGCTCCCAAGACGCAACCTCGTGAATGCCAGGAGAGGCCAAGCCTCTATCGCCGATAGGCGCAGACAATGACAAAGGCAACAATTCTTTGTCACAAGCCCAGGCGTAGGAGATCGTGTCACACGCGCAGCCAAGCAGGGAGCCAATACGTATTTGCGGCCCTTGGGCCTTGAGCGAGCTCCTAAACCCCCTGCTTGGAGGATTTGAACATAAAGGCTGCCAAGGTGAAACCAGACGGCGGCTATCTGGTAGGATCATGACCAGGAGGCACGGCGAGGGGACAGAGGGAGCGGGGCCACGGCCAAGAGGCAGGAGGACGAAGGCGAGGAAGAGGACAAGCAGGAGAGAGAGGAAGAGGAAAACAGAGAGCCTGCGCTGGCACTCCAGCAGGATCCCAATAGTCCCGAAAACGGCAACGCGCGGATTACCCAACGCAGACAGCCCGAGACATTAGAACAAAAGACAAGAAAAAGAGCATACAGGTTTCGAGCTACAGTCCAAGAGAAATTTCAAACTTAAACGCATTGTGTGTGTGCTGAGACTTGCGTCAGAGGATTGAAATGAATGAAAAAGCACACGCACACACACACACACACACACACACACACACACACACGCACACGCACACGCACACGCACACGCACACGCACACGCACACGCACACACACACACACACTCACACTCACACTCACACTCACACTCACACTCACACTCACACTCACACTCACACTCACACACACTCACACACACACACTCACACACACACACACACTGGTGCCTCGCGGAGCTCCCTGAAGGGGGGGGGCAGGGAGCATGTGAGGGGGTGTGCGGCACGGGCCGCAGGAAAGCAGCAGAAGCGGCCCGGATGGGATGAGAGAAGAGGTGGGATGAAGAGGAAGAGGAGCAGGGCGGAGGGGGAGGAGTACAGTGAAGTCCAGTCCAAAAGAAACCTTCCACAATAACCCAGCCCTGGAACCCAAGAACGTCCATTGGTTTTTAGTGTGGGAGCGTCGCCCTTTCCATCGCAAAACCATCGACACCCAAGAAACCCTGGGCCTCCACTGTACGCCGCGCCAGCGGACCTCATGCTGGTACACGAGCCACACTGCCGGCGCCCAGGAAGAGCTCGACAAATCTGCTCGAGTGCCAGGAGTACAACGGAAATCCATGCCAAGAAACACCCTGCTTGCCTCCAGGGTGCCCTGAGTTTCTTGGGCTCCGATGGTTCTGCGATGGAGAGCGTGGCGTTCCCACACCAAATGTCAGTGGACGTTCTGCTGGAAGGCTTCTTGTGGTCGGGCCTCCACTGCAAGGAGGAGGCGCGCGGCGCTGCGGAGTCAAAACGCGGACCCGGCGCACAAGAAAAAACCGTGTCGGCCGTTGCACGATCGGAGGCGTTCAGGGAGGGCCCTTGAGCGGGGACACGTGGGCGGGGCCCCCCATGGTTATACGACCACTCCATCTCCTCCTCCTCCTCCTCCTCCTCCTCCTCCTCCTCCTCCTCCTCCTCCTCCTCCTCCTCCCCTCCTCCCCCTCCTCCCTCCTCCTCCTCCTCCTCCCTCCTCCTCCTCCTCCTCCGCTTTACCGCCTCCTCATCTACTCCTCCTCCTGCTTCTCCTCCTCCTCCTCCTCCTCCTCCTCCTCCTCCTCCTCCTCCTCCTCCTCCCCCGCCCCCGCCCCCGCCCCTCAGCATCACGAGTGGCGGAGCCGAAGGGCGCGCCACGCCATGCCCGTGTCCATCCGTCGAAAGAGGCCCCCAAAAGGCCCCAAGAGGATCTCCGAGGCACCCAAGACGCTCAAAGAAACCCCTGGGTTCGCCTAGATGCTCTTTCTCCTCCTCCTCCTCCTCCTTCTCCTCCTCCTCCTCTTCCTCCTCCTCCTCCTCCTCCTCCCCTCCTCCTCCTCCTCCTCCTCTCCTCCTCCTCCTCCTCCTTGTCCATTGACTCTCCCTCCTTCCTCCTTATCGTCCTCCTCCTCCTTCTCAACTTCCTCCTCCTCCTCCTTCCTCCTCCTCTTTCTCCTCCACCATCCTTGCCCTGTTGGGATATCGGACGGCCGAGGCCGCGGTGCTGGGCCCGCGCATCCGAGGCCGCGGTGCTTCCTAAAACGCGGCCCCGATTCCGTCCCTTCGTTGGCCTTGTCCTCCTCTTCCACGAACGCGCCAGGGGAGCCAGCCAGCCGTCTGGCCAGCCAAACAGCCAGCCAGCCAGCCAACCAAGTTCACCCGCCAGCCAGCCAGCCAGCCAGCCAGACACCCAGCCAAACAGACGAGCTGCCAGCCTGCCAAGCAGTTATCGGCGGTGGACAAACCTCACGTTAGTGAACCACCCTTTCGTGACAACGGCCTATGGACCGAAACAGACGGACCTGGGCCCGCAAAAACGACGGCCGCGACGCCCTCTCGCGAATCGAGACACGGCCGATTCGCTGATCGACGCGTCAGGGCAGGTCCACCCACCTCCGAGATGAGCCACTCCATCAATCCAATCAGCCCGACCAGCCGCGCAGGCGATCGCTCGCTCTCTCTCTCTCTCTCTCTCTCTCTCTCTCTATGGGGGCCCGGCGGCAGAGAGGGCGAAGTCCCGTCGGATAAACCTCCTCGCACGAGGCCACGATGCTCACCTTGACGTCCTGCCCCCTCTTGGTCACGCACCTGTAGAGGGCAGCCTCCTCCTCCTCCTCCTCCTCCTCCTCCTCCTCCTCCTCCTCCTCCTCCTCCTCCTCCTCCCCGATCATAACCGCCCCGACACGCGGAGGCCGTCCGGCAGGCGCACCCAATGGAAGAAGGAGTCGAACAGGGCGGGGCTGTTTAGTAAACGCCCAGGGAGGAGGAAGAGGAGGAGGAGGAGGAGGAGGCGGAGGAGGAGGAGGAGGAGGAGGAGGAAGAAGAGGAGAAGGAAGAGGAGGAGGTGTAGAGGAGAAGGAGGAGGAGGAGGAAGGGAGGCTAGGAGGAGGAGGAGGAGGAGGAGGTAGTAGAGGGGGAGAGGAGGAGGAGGAGGATAATGAGGGGAGGAGAGGAGGAGGGAGGAGGAGGAGAGGAGGAGGAGGAGGGAGGAGGAGGAGGGAGGAGGAGAGGAGGCGAGGGGAGGGGGGAGGGGGAAAGGGGGAGGGGGGAGGACTTCTCCTCCCCTGAGCACCCGAGCTTCGCGTGCTGCTCGCCGCCGCCCACCCACTTCGTTCGCGGGGGGCACGCCGCCTCGCAGTAGCAGCCCTCGTCCCCCGCCCGGCACGCCCTGCAGCCCCCGACCACGCGGAGGAGGTCGTGGCCGTCGATCCTCTCGGGGGCCCCAGGCCCCCCCCGCGCTGTGAAAAGATCGCGACGGGAGGCTTTTCGCTATTTTCGGCCCCCGGGGGCCCCTCCCCGGGCCTCGGGACCGTCAACAAAACGACTCAGGATGACAGGCCGGTCGCGGGGAAGGGGTCCAGACCTCTGGGGGTCGACGTTGTGAAGAAATCACGACGTCGGGGGTCTGCCGCCCAGGGACACACACACACACAAACACACACACACACACACACACAATAGACACAAGAATCACAGGGTTCCCCCTATTTTTCCCGAGATTTTCTGGGCTTGCGTCTTCCCCCCCAGCTTCCCATATTTTCCCATACTTTCCTGGGAGGGCGTCCAAGAGGGGGGGGCGCAAATCATGGCCGGCGGCATGTGCGCGGCCCAGGGGGGGGGGCGGAGACGCAATGAAACAAGAAGAGGCGCCAGGAGATCTGGGGACATATCGTGGCCCACGCAATGAGATCCCCCCCCTAGTCACCACCCCCCTCCTTGCCGCCCCCGCAGTCCTCTTGCACATGCCACGGGCCGGGTCCGTGAAGAGGCCTCCATGGCCGCCGCCCGTGCCGCCGCCGCCCTCGCCCTGGCCGCCGCCCGTGCCGATGGGCTCGAAGCAGGCCGGGGCGGCGGGCAGCATGCGGAAGCCGTGCGGCTCCGGGCCTCCCTGGCAGCCCCGCACCGCGTGCTCGGGGCCCCCGCCGAAGCGCACGAAGCCGTCGGCGCACTGCACTCTGCACTCGCAGCGCCCCGGGACGCAGTCGTCGCAGCCCGTCAGCAGCAGGCCGTCCGAGGGCGAGATGGGGTCGCACTTCTGCGCGCAGGTGGGCAGGTCCTCCCAGTGCGCCTCGAGCACGGACCGCTCGACCGCGCAGCCGCCGGTGGGGGTGAACTTCTTCTTCCTGCCGAGGATGTCGCTGTCGGACATGGGCAGGCACTTGGCGCGCCGGTCTTCCCCGAAGCCCTCGTGGCGCCAGCAGCAGGGGGCGTCGTCGGCTTTCTCTTGGGCGAGCAAGCAGCTTTGGTGGTCTTTCAGACTCGCGCAGGATGTGTCTCTGGTCAGCTTGTCCGGTGGCAAGGTGGTGTTTCCCCACGCCTCCTTGCAGCACCACGTGTTGGTTTCGCCGCCCCTCGAGTCGACGCACTTCTTTTCCGTGCTCCACCCCACGACGTCTGGGCAGTCGAACACTGCCGCTCTGCAAGCCTTGTCGCCTTCCTTCGCTGCGCCGCTGCTCGTGAACCCCTCCCTGCACCTGACCTCGCACGAGCACGTCTTCTCCCACGGCTTCCCCGTCGTGCCCTGGCAGTCCCTGCAGTCCCGGAGCTCGTAGTTGGAGCCCGGGGCCCGGAGCGGCTCCACCTCGCAGACGGCCGGGGGGGGCCCCTGGGCGGGCAGGAACGTGCACTGCGGCGAGGGCGACCACTCTCCGTCGCGGCCGCACCTGGGGAAACCAAAAGGTCATCTTCGCCTCCTCCCTCCTCCCTCCTTCCTCCTCCTCCTCCTCCTTCTCCTCCTCCTCCTCCTCCTCCTTCTCCTCCTCCTCCTCCTGTCTCCTCCTCCTCCTCCTGTCTCCTCCTGTCTCCTCCTGTCTCCTCCT